CAAAATACTAGCCAATAGGATCCAACAGTACATTAAAAGGATTATTCACCATGACCAAGTGGGATTTATCCCTGGGCTGCAAGGTTGGTTCAACATCCGCAAATCAATCAATGTGATACAATACATTAACAAAAGAAAGAACAAGAATCATATGATCCTCTCAAATGATGCAGAAAAAGCATTTGACAAAGTACAGCATCCTTTCTTGATCAAAATTCTTCAGAGTATAGGCATAGAGGGTACATACCTCAATATCATAAAAGCCATCTATGAAAAACCTACAGCGAAGATCATTCTCAATGGGGAAAAACTGAGAGCTTTCCCCCTAAGGTCAGGAACACAGCAGGGTTGTCCACTATCACCACTGCTATTCAACATAGTAGTAGAAGTCCTAGCCACAGCAATCAGACAACAAAAAGAAATAAAAGTCATCCAAATCGGCAAAGAAGTCAAACTCTCACTCTTTGCAGATGATATGATACTTTATGTGGAAAACCCCAAAGACTCCACCCCAAAACTGCTAGAACTCATACAGGAATTCAGTAAAGTGGCAGGATATAAAATCAATGCACAGAAGTCAGTGGCATTCCTATACACCAACAACAAGACAGAGGAAAAAGAAATTAAGGAGTCGATCCCATTTACAATTGCACCCAAAACCATAAGACACCTAGGAATAAATCTAACCAAAGAGGCAAAGGATCTGTACTCAGAAAACTATAAAATACTCATGAAAGAAATGGAGGAAGACACAAAGAAATGGAAAAACGTTCCATGCTCATGGATTGGAAGAACAAATATTGTGAAGATGTCAATGCTACCTAAAGCAATCTACACATTCAATGCAATCCCCATCAAAATACCATCCACTTTTTTCAAAAAAATGGAACAAATAATCTTAAAATTTGTATGGAACCAGAAAAGACCCCGCATAGCCAGAGGAATGTTGAAAAAGAAAAGCAAAGCTGGCAGCATCACAATTCCAGACTTCAAGCTCTATTACAAAGCTGTCATCATCAAGACAGTATGGTACTGGCACAAAAACAGGCACATAGATCAATGGAACAGAATAGAGAGCCCAGAAATGGACCCTCAAATCTATGGTCAACTCATCTTTGACAAAGCAGGAAAAAATGTCCAGTGGAAAAAAGACAGTCTCTTGAACAAATGGTGTTGGGAAAATTGGACAGCCACATGCAGAAGAATGAAACTGGACCATTTCCTTACACCACACACAAAAATAGACTCCAAATGGTTGAAAGACCTCAATGTGAGACAGGAGTCCATCAAAATCCTAAAGGAGAACACAGGCAGCAACCTCTTCGACCTCAGCCGCAGCAACTTCTTCCTAGAAACTTCACCAAAGGCAAGGGAAGCAAGGGCAAAAATGAACTATTGGGACTTCATCAAGATAAAAAGCTTTTGCACAGCAAAAAAACAGTCAACAAAACCAAAAGACAACCGACAGAATGGGAGAAGATATTTACAAATGACATAACAGATAAAGGGCTAGTATCCAAAATCTATAAAGAACTTATCAAACTCAACACCCAAAGAACAAAGAATCCAATCAAGAAATGGGCAGAAGACATGAACAGACATTTTTCCAAAGAAGACATCCAAATGGCCCACAGATACATGAAAAAGTGCTCGATATCGCTTGGCATCAGGGAAATCCAAATCAAAACCTCAATGAGATACCACCTCACACCAGTCAGAATGGCTAAAATTAACAACACAGGAAACGACAGATGTTGGTGAGGATGCAGGGAAAGGGAAGCCCTCTTAAGACTATTGGTGGGAATGCAAACTGGTGCAGCCACTCTGGAAAACAGTATGGAGGTTCCTCAAACAGTTGAAAATAGAGCTACCATATGACCCAGCAATTGCACTACTGGGTATTTACCCCAAAGGTACAAAAGTAGGGATCCGAAAGGGTACGTGCACCTCGATGTTTATAGCAGCAATGTCCACAATAGCCAAACTGTGGAAAGAGCCAAGATGTCCATCAATAGATGAATGGATAAAGAAGAGGTGGTATATATATACAATGGAATATTATGCAACCATCAAAAGGAATGAGATCTTGCCATTTGCAATGACGTGGATGGAACTGGAGGGTATTATGCTGAGCGAAATAAGTCAAACAGAGAAAGACATGTATCATATGACCTCACTGATATGAGGAATTCTTAATCTCAGGAAACAAACTGAGGGTTGCTGGAGTGGTGGGGGGTGGGAGGGATGGGGTGACTGGGTGATAGACACTGGGGAGGGTATTTGCTCTGGTAAGTGCTGTGAATTGTGCAAGACTGTTGAATCTCAGATCTGTACCTCTGAAACAAATAATGCAATATATGTTAAGAAAGAAAAAAAAAGATAGCGGGAGGGGAAGAATGAAGGGGGGGAAATCGGAGGGGTAGACGAACCATGAGAGACGATGGACTCTGAGAAACAAACTGAGGGTTCTAGAGGGGAGGGGGGTGGGAGGATGGGTTAGCCTGCTGATGGGTATTGAGGAGGGCACGTTCTGCATGGAGCACTGGGTGTTATGCACAAACAATGAATCATGGAACACTATATCTAAAACTAATGATGTAATGTATGGGGATTAACATAACAATAAAAAATTTTAAAAAAAAGAGTGTGATTGGTGTAAACATTTTGAGAAACAATTTCTTAACATCTACCAAATACAGAAACACACAAATATTTTCATCATGAATTTTTGCCCTCCCAGGAAATGATCTTATAGACATGTTTTCATGAATGTACAAAACCATGAGCACAATGTTGGTTGTTATTTGAAAAATGGAAAGGATCTAAATGTTCAACAAGAACATGTGAATATGCATAAGTAAACTCATAGAAATGAATAATGTTGATTAATGTTCAGTGATGAGGAAGATGAGCAAAATATGATAAGCTAATGAAAAGCAACTTGCAGAATTCCATACATGGTGTGCTTCCTTTTGTAATGTACAAGTAGGACAAGCTAGACCCATGCAGGCAATGGCAGGGACTGTCTTTGGGACTTGGGACTAGGGTTGGAGCATGTGGGACTTTCATTTTCACTTTATAATTTGCCAGTTCTAAAAAATCATGAATGTATACTGCTTACATATTAAAAGGAGATAAAATTTCAAAAGTAAATTTAAAATTTTAGTTTGATTTTTCTATTTAGATTTGGCCACAAAATAACTTGAACTCCACAAGGTAAATAATATTTTTTAATCTCACTCCCCCCAAATATTAAACTTAATGTAACCATTTAGTAACCTGGTTAATGGGCCCAAGATTTTGTCTTTGACACTGGCCTCACTGATTCCCTGACATGTTTACTCCCTAGCAACTCAGGTTTCTTATCTCATACTAAGACATACAGAACTGAACGCATCACCCCCCTGATGTCTCACAACATTTAAAAAAATTTAGCAGGTATTGCATGGAGCACTGAGTGTGATCTGCAAACAATGAGTCATGGAACACTACATCAAAAGCTAATGAAGTACTGTATGGTGACTAACATAACATAATAAAAAAAAAATTAGCAGGTCATTCAGTTTTCCCTCCCTTCCCCTATGATCCTCTGCACTGTTTCATGTGATGAGACTGGGTGTTACACAACTGATAAATTATTGAACACAACATCCTAAACTAATGATATACTTTAGTATATGTTGGCTAATTGAGTTTTAATTTAAAATATTTAGCAGGTCATAATACTGCCCCTTTCACAACAACATTTAAACAAAATGACTGAAATGTTTTTTAAAGACCAAACACCAAAGCATTTGAGGAGCTGGAACCAAGTAAGAATTTGATGATAAAATTCAGGATAGTTTCTGTTAGGTTACTTGGCTGTGTGTGCTTTATTTAAGATGCAAACTTGGCACTACCCAAATGTTTATTCACACACAAAAGATATTGGTGTGTTGAAAAGTCCGTCTACTTTTTTCCTGCTTAAAAATGCATGGTTTTACTGTGTTTGTTTCTTTTCCTTTTTAATTAAATAACACAATCATATATTCTTATATTACTTTAAGTTGTACAATATAATAATAAACAATTTTATACATTTCTTTCTTTTTTATATATAGAGAGAGCATGAGCAAGGGGGGAGAGGGGCAAAAGGAGAGACAGAGATAGAATCCATGAGGAGACTCCCCCCTGAGTGGGGAACAAGATGCAGGGTTCAATCCCAGGACCCTGAGATCATGACCTAAGCCAAAATCAAGAGTCAGTCACTTAACTGACTGAGCAACCCAGGCTCCCCAATTCTATACATTTCTTAGTGCTTGTCAAGATAGATAAGTGTACTCTTAATTCCCTTTATCTATTTCACCAATCTCCCCACCCAACTTCCCTCTGGCAAATATCGGTTTGTTCTCCATATTTAAGAGTCTGGTTTTTTGTCTTTTTTTTTTTTCTTTGTTCACTTGTTTTGTTTCTTTAATTCCACATATGAGTGAAATCATATGGCATTTGACTTATTTCACTCACCATTACACTCTCTAGGTCCATCTATGTTGTTGGCAAAAGGCAGGATACCATTCTTATTTATGGTGGAGGATCTGAATAGATATTTTTCCAAAGAAGACAGACAAAGGGCCAACAGATACATGAAAAGATGCTCAAACAGCATTGATCATCAGGGAAATGCAAATCAAAACCACAATGAGATATCATCTTACAACTGTCAGAATGGCTAAAATAAAAAAGACAAAGAGTAACAAGTGTTGGTGAGGATGTGGAAAAAGGGGAACCCTCTTACACTGTTGGTGGGAATGAAAACTGGTGAAACCACTCTGGAAAACCATATGGAGGTTCCTCAAAAAGTTAAAAAGAAAAAAGATCCAGTAATCATACTACTGGGTTTTTACCCAAAGAAAGCAAAAACAATTTTTATTTTATTTTATTTTATTAATTCTAGTATAGTTAACCTACAGTGTTACATTAGTTTCAGGTGTACAACATTGTGATTCAACAATTCCATTCATCACCCAGTGCTCATCACAACAAGTGAAAAAAAAGGGGGGGGGAAACAAAAACACTAATTCAAAAAGTTATATACCCATATGTTTATTGCAGAATTATTTACAACAGCCTAGATATGGAAACAGCCCAAGTGTCCATTGGTGGATGAATGGATAAAGAAGATGTATATATATGTATATGTATATATATATATATACATATATATACAAGATGTGTGTGTGTATATATATACACATACACATATATACATATATGTATACATGCATATGCATATACATGTCTTAATGTATATGTTTATACATATATGCATATTCATATACATACATAAATATACACAATGGAATGTACTCAGCCATAAAAAAGTGCATGGTTTTAGATTTAGAAGACAGAGTAGATTAAAAAAATACATGGATGTTTAAATGTTCAGGTAATTCTTTTCTTAATTTAAATTCAATTACCAACATACAGCACATCACTAATTTCAGATGTACTATTCATTAATTCATAAGTTGCATATATGATTCATGGATGAATGAATCCAAATCAAAAAAAGCAACATTCTGCATGTAAGTGAAATTATGTGGCATTTGTCTTTCCCTATCTGAGTTATTTCATTTGGCAGAATATCCTCTAGGTCCATCCATACTGTTGTGAGAGGCCAGATTTCAATCTAAAAAAGGAACAAAGAAAACCAGAAACAGATTAATATAGTGAGAACATTACCTTAATCCCCCAAACCAGGCAAAGACACCATTAAAAAGGAGAATTTCAGACCGATATCCCTGATGAATATGGATTCCAAAATCCTCAACAAAATCCTAGCTAATAGGATCCAACAATACATTAAAAGGATCATCCACCACGACCAAGTGGGATTTATCCCTGGGATGCAAGGGTGGTTCAACATTCACAAATCAATCAATGTGATAGAACACATTAATAAGAGGAGAGAGAAGAACCATATGGTCCTCTCAACTGATGCAGAAAAAGCATTTGACAAAATACAGCATCCTTTCCTGATTAAAACTCTTCAGAGTATAGGGATAGAGGGAACATTCCTCAAGTTCATAAAACCCATCTATGAAAAACCCACAGCGAATATCATCCTCAATGGGGAAAAGCTAAGAGCCATTCCCTCAGGAACACGTCAAGGATGCCCACTCTCGCCACTACTGTTCAACATAGTACTAGAAGTCCTAGCAACAGCAATCAGACAACAAAAAGAAATAAAACGTATTCAGATTGGCAAAGAAGAAGTGAAACTCTCTCTTTTCACAGATGACATGATACTTTATGGGGAAAACACAAAAGACTCCATCCCCAAATTACTAGAACTCATACAGCAGTTCAGTAATGTGACAGGATACAAAATCAATGCACAGAAATCAGTTGCTTTCTTATACACTAAGTGGTGTTGGGAAATTTAGACAGCTATATACAGAAGAATAAAATTTTCCATTTCATTTTTTCCCCTTTTCAACTAGTTTCTCATTTTATCATCTCTTTATCCCCCCCTTAGCCTTTCCCCACTCCCCTCTTTTAGTTTTTTTATTTAAATTATTTAAATTAAATTAGGCAAGGTATCAGCTCTTTATTTTTAAGTCTTTTTCAAGTAACATTTTTTACATTTGTACTTTATGGATATATTCTTCATGTTTGGCTTCCTTTCACTCTATTCAATTTTATCTTTGTGTATATATATGTATACACATACACACACACACACACACAAACTTGCTTTCTTTACAATTTTGGGATTTAGTGTCTTCTTTTTTTTTATTTAGAGAGCCCAGATATGGACCCTCAACTCTATGGTCAAATAATCTTTGACAAAACAGGAAAAAATATGCAATGGAAAAAAGACAGTCTCTTCAATAAATGGTGTTGGGACAACTGGACAGCCACATGCAGAAGAATGAAATTCGACCATTCTCTAACACCATACAAAAAGATAAACTCAAAATGGATGAAAGACCTCAATGTGAGACAGAAATCCATCAAAATCCAAGAGGAGAACATAGGCAGTAACCTCTTTGACATCACCCACAGCAACTTCTTTCAAGATACATCTCCAAAAACTAGTGAAACAAAAGCAAAAATGAACTTTTGAGACTTCATCAGGATAAAAAGCTTTCTGCACAGCAAAGGAAACAGTCAACAAAACAAGGAGGCAACCCACAGAATGGGAGAAGATATTTGCAAATGACATTACAGATAAAGGGCTGGTATCCAAGATCTATAAAGAACTTCTAAACTCAACACCCAAAAAACAAATAATCAAGTCAAAAAATGGACAGAAGACATGAACAGACACTTCTCCAAAGAAGACATACAAATGGCTAACAGACACATGAAAAAATGTTCATCATCATTAGCCATCAGGGAAATCCAAATCAAAACCACATTGAGATACCACCTTACACCAGTTAGAATGGCAAAAATGGACAGGGAAAGAAACAACAAATGTTGGAGAGGTGGTGGAGAAAGGGGAACCCTCTTACACTGTTGGTGGGAATGCAAGTTGGAACAGCCACTTTGGAAAACAGTGTGGAGTTTCCTCAAAAAATTAAAAATAGAGCTACCCTATGACCCAGCAATTACACTCCTGGGTATTTACCACAAAGACACAGATGTAGTGAAAAGAAGGGGCACCTGCACCCCAATGTTCATAGCAGCAATGCCCGCAATAACCAAACTGTGGAAAGAGCCGAGATGCCCTTCAACAGATGAATGGATAAAGAAGATGTGGTCCATATATACAATGGGATATTACTCAGCTATCAGAAAGGATGAATACCCAACTTTTACATCAACATGGATGGGACTGGAGGAGATTATGCTAAGTGAAATGTCAAGTAGAGAAAGTCAATTATCATATGGTTGCACTTATTTGTGGAACATAAGGAATAGCATGGAGGACATTAGGAGAAGGAAGGGAAAAAGAAGGAGGGCAATCGGAGGGGGAGACAAACCATGAGAGACTATGGACTCTGAAAAACAAAATGAAGGTTTTAGAAGGGACGGGGGTGGGCGGATGGGTTATCCCATCCGTGGTGGGATGGGTATTAAGGAGGGCACGTACTGCATTGAGCACTGGGTTTTATACACAAACAATGAATGTGGATCACCACATCAAAAACTAATGATGTATTGTATGGTGACTAACATAACATAATAAAATTAAATTAAAATAAAAAAATAAACTGCAGAGCCTGTTAACATACAGTGTAGTATTAGTTTCAGGTGTAGAATTTAGTGATTCATCACTTATATACAACAAGCCATGCTCATCACAATACATGCCCATTGCCCCCACACCTTCCCTCTGGTAATCACCAACTTGTACTCTATAGTTAAGAGTTTGTTTCTTGGTTTGCCTCTCTCTCTTTTTTTTCCCATTTGCTCATTTTTTTTTCTTAAATTCCACATATGTGTGAAATCATTTGGTATTTGTCTTTCTCTTAATGACATTTCACTTAACATTATACTCTTAGCTCCATCCATGTCATTGCAAATGGCAAGATTTCATTCTGTTCTGTGGCCAAGTAATATGTTAATATATGAATATTATCACATCTTTTTTTCCTTCAGATCTAGGGTTAGGGTTAGGTTTAGGACCAGGCTTATGGTAAGGGTTAGTGTTATTGTCAGAGTGATGGTATGTGCCTGGTTCCTATGCTCAGTGACTCTCCAGATGGTTAGGTTTAGGTTAGGGTTTGAATTAGGGGTTAGGAATTAGGAGTTATGGGTTAGGGTTAGGGCTAGGCCTAGGGTTTAGTTAACGTATGTGCCTAGCCACATGCAGTTCAGAGACCTCTCCAGAGAATGAAACACCAGAATTCTGTTGCGGTGAGAATAGATATGGCAGACATCTACTGAGCTGAGGGAAGGAGGGGATTTGGGGTTCTAAATACTCTTTAAATAGGTTTTCTAAACTTTTATAGGCATAAACTTATAAAAGAATTTAAAAGACATCAGGAAGGCATAAATGGTGTAGGTTGACTCTCAAAGAGCACTAGGTAAATAAAGAAAAGTTTAGTTTTAACGTATTCCAGCTTTTCTGGCTCATGACTCCTGAAAATCCCCTACTTGTAACCAGTTGTCTGGTAAATTTGGGCTTTACCCCTATGGGGAGGAGGGGAAAAAATCAGGTGACTCCATGGAACCCATTCCCTTCATTGACAGTATAACTCAAAACAACTTTTTTCCTGTTGGTTGGTGATAAGTTTTGTGGCATCTTGGTTCAAGTGCAACATCAAGTTGAATGCATTTCAACCAGTGAAGAGTTTTAACTTGACAAACTCAACACCCAAAAAACAAATAAACCAGTCAAGAAATGGGCAGAAGACATGAACAGACACTTCTCCAAAAAAGTCATTCAAATGGATAACGGACACAATAAAAAATGTTCAACATCACTAGCCATCAGGGAAATTCAAATGAAAACCACAATGAGATACTACCTTACACCAGGTAGAACGGCAAAAATTAACAAAACGGGAAACAACAAATGTTGGTGAGGTTGTGGAGAAAGGGGAACCCTCTTACACTGTTGGTGGGAATGCAAGCTGGTACAGCCACTCTGGAAAACAGTATGGAGGTCCCTCAAAGCAATAAAAATAGAGCTATCCTACGTCCCAGCAATTGCACTACTAGGTTACCCCAAAGATACAGATGTAGAGAAAAGAAGGAGCACGTGCACCCCAATGTTCATAGCAGTAATGTCCACAATAGCCAAACGGTGAAAGGAGCCGAGATGTCCTTCCACAGATGAGTGGATAAAGAAGATGTGGTTCCTATATACAATGGAATATTACTCAGCCATCAGAACGGTGGAATACCCACCATTTGCATCAACACGGACGGAAGTGGAGGGGATTATGCTAAGTGAAATAAGTCAAGCAGAGAAAGACAATTATCATATGGTTTCACTCATATGTGGAACGTGAGGAATAACACGGAGAACCATAGGGGAAGGGAGGGAAAACTGAAGGGGAAGGAATCAAAGAGGGAGACAAACCATGAGAGACTCTGGACCCCAGGAAACAAACTGAGGGTTACAGAAGGGAGGGGGTGGGGGTATGGGGTAGCCTGGTGATGGGTATTAAGGAGGGTACGTGTTGCAGTGAGCACTGGGTGTTATACACAACTAATGAATCGTTGAACACTGCATCAAAAACTAATGATGTACTATATGTTGTCTCTAACTGAACATAATAAAAAAACGAGTTTTATCTTGTGAACATTATACTGTCTAACCTGGACAGCTCCTTGAAGGGCATTCATTACAATATTGAGATTTTCATTTCCCATGGTCCCAGTCAAGGAAAGAAAGTCACATTATTCTTTTTGTTTCCACAAAGGCTCTGTTTGCTCTGGGATAAGTGTTCCATCCCCTGATACCTTAAATGCCCTAAAGAATTCCTGCATTCAGTTCAAAGCACATCTTTTGGACAAGCCCAAGCTTTCTCTTCTGTGATAATGACAATCACCTTTTGTTTTATACTCTGCTTTCCATGGATAGATTTTGACCATTAGCACAGATGGTACAGGAAGGCAGTTAGGTTGATATTTTCAGGTTGCATGGCAGCCTGAGAGCCTGCGTTGGTTTGTACATGGTAAGGCATAGACCAGGAAGAGAACAGCAGGGAGAGTGGATAAATACAGGAA